TATATATTACTTTTTTATTTTTTTATATTTTCCGCTCAGTTATATGTGGGGGTAATAATTAAAATGCTTTTAATATTTTTAAAAAAATCATGTGTCATAATTTGTGTTATCTGTATTGTGTGGTTTGGTTACAACTTTGGGTTACATGGGGAAAATGTTTAAAATGTTTTGAAATACATAAATATATATAGTGAATTTTCTTTTCCATTTTTGCTTGGTTACATGGGAAAACTGTTTACAATTTTTCAAATATTTCAAACATATGGTAAATGTATTTTTCTTGTGGTTAATTGTGGAAAACATTGTAAATATTTTACAATTTTGTGACTTTATTTGACATAGTCTGTAATTTTTTTTAACTATAATATATAGTAATCAAATGACGAAAGTCATGGAAATTCATTGGTCAATAGGTAAGGATCAAACATGAATCTTAAGGTTTTTTTTGTTTGTTTGTTTTTTTGGGTGTGAGACTATACAAAACAACTTAAGTGGGTTTTTTCCCCACCGTTTTTCTCCATGTTAATTTATTAGCAGTGAACATTAGTTAGTGTTTTAAAGAGTCTTTGAGTTGCACTAGTGTCAGTTTACGTTCATCTCATGATCTGACCATTAGGCTGCTCTTTGCTTTCGTTTTGGTGTCAGAGCCATTAGCTCATTTGTGGCTGTAAGCAAAGCTAGATTGTCAGCAATTTAAGTCTAAGAGATTATATCTGAATATTTCAGTAGCGTAAAGCGTTTCATAACACGCGTCCTTATATTGTTCTCAGATCGGAGAGATGCAGTAGCTATGAAAATAATTAGATCAGAGGCTTAATTTGAAACTCGGGTTGCAAAATCTATTTAGGACAGTGTTTGCATCCCAGTTTATGACTGGGGAAGTCGAAGAAGGTCCAGATTTTATCTTCTCTGGTTGCGTCTCTTTTACTGATCCTTGGCAGGCATGACGAGACCATGAAGCGCCAACGTCGAGAATGAAACCTGTTCTGACCAGGTTGTGGTTTTACAAGCCAATCCTGTTCCCAAAAATGGCAAAAACAGTTAATCCGGCTGCCACACGCCAAGTTGCTTTTAAAAAACAGCGGATTTGGACAGAGAGGGATCCTCAAATTGCGTAGATGAGCAGACACGGTCACGGGGCCTTGTTGTGTAGTGTGGGCTGACCCATAAAAGTGCTTCACAGAACGCATGTCCTTAGAAAGCTCGTGCAACACAACCAGCCTTTGTGCCCAGACTCACAGAGGAAAGACAGCAATAAGATACGCCTCAGTGGAGGAAGAGGGCCTTGCGTGACCAACGAGCGCTGTTAACCTTCTGCTTCTAGCTCGGTAAACTCTCGACCGCTCTGTCTGAAAGCTGAGAGGAAGTTGTCACCGCTCAGGGCTTACAAGGCCACGTTCTCAAAGAGCAACAGATTTGTGTTTTGTTAATATGCTTCAGCAGGTCTTGGGAAGGTCTTAGAAAGTCTTATTTCCACAAATTAAGGCCTTAAGAAGATCTTAAATCAGAGAAGAAAGCCTTAAATTCATAGTCACAGCATTAAATGTTGCATTCATTGCTAAAAATGAGAATTTTCCTCTGTTTTTGACTTGTTTTCCAATACAAATTATGAAACATCCCTTAAATCAAGGTACATTTACTTGCAAAGATGCAAAGTGAACACATGAAATCTTGTTTTCTGAGAAACTTAAAAAAAAAAGTGAGTTTATGCTTAATTATGCTTCTCTTGTTTTGCCTTTGAATTGTTCATGAGCCCATTGACATAAACTGTCAGATCGTGTCGATCAGTTTCACAGAAACTTGGCTTATCTTATCTCATTTTGCTTCTCAAATAGCCGTATCTTGATTTAAGAATCTTTTGACATTTGTACTGGAAAGCAAGCCAAAAATACTGAAGAATATCCCTTTTTTTGCTGGGTGATCAGAAGGTGCAGTAAAAGTTATTTCTATATTCTAGAGGCTTTTTTTTTTTTTTTTAAAATGACGTTATTTGTTCAGTGAAATTATCAACGTGGTCTGGTGAAAGACGGGACCTGAGGCGATTAACAATAAAATTCCTGCACTTGAAAAAACGCGCTCGGCAGGAACTGAAGTCGCAGGCACGCAGAGATAACGAATAGCAAGCCGATAGATTTTCAGAAAGCGACTGGACATCCCGCACCACCACCGAAGTGGGTCTTCGTTAAAGGAATAGACAGCGCAGACGGGATCGCAGGTTGTAGTGAATGACATCTGCTGGCTTTGGCCAGCCTCTAAGCTAACGCCCACGTGCCTGTATTGAATATGATTACGCATCGCTCCAGTAGAGTTATTTTAAGACAATTTGACATTACACAGTTTACACACAACTTTTCCGTTTCCTTCTAATTCAAAATAATCCCACACCTTCTCGTCTTTTGCATGGTCATTTTTGAACTCGCTGCAACTGACACGAAGAAAACGTGCGTGAGGTCTGAGGTAAAAATGTAGTTTCCGCCCAGATAAACTTTTAAAAATAATGTATTCTTTTTCAAACGTTTTA